GGACTGATAGATGCGATAACCAGTATCCGAAAAGAGTAAAACTGTAGTTTTAAAAAAGTACAGTCACTGTCAAAGGCTTAACTAACCAATTATGACACTGTAGTTATTTGCTTTTTTGATACGTTATGAATAATCCATCTACAATGAAAGAGGTAAGTAACATAACAAATCACATTCGATTCAAGGTACTGCGTAACCTTATCCATTGTCTTTGGTAAGCAACTGCCTGATACCCAACACAGTTGAACTCCAGTGATTACAGCTTTTCACTACAACTCCCCATGAAACTAGTTACTAGTAAGCACATGAAAATTTTCGTTATAGGGTTGTTCAGATTGCTAGGTTTCACAACATGACGAAACGGCCGCCTAATGCTTTCAGGTTTTTAATAATGGTCTAACATTGATCGATACATAATTTCAATGAAACTCGAAAATCTCCACAACACCATGATAAAAATCACATCTTATACCTGTGAGGTGTGCTGGCAGTGATTTTTCAGAAACTGAAATAGACTGAGCTCACGACCCAAACATCAATGCAAATTCTCAGTTTGCTAATCTATAGATGCACTGTTCTCAGTGGATTTCAAAATAAAACATGGATTGAGAAAGACAACTGTTAACAGTACTTTTTAAACACAATTCTACTGAACTTTTCTTTAATAAGAGAGTGTAAGCAACATCTAAACTAAATTTACAAATCCCTAAATAATAGTTATTAGAAAATTAGGAAAAGTCCCTCTTGCTAATGTGACTATCGATTGAAAATGTCTGTTACCAATGTTTACCTAGACATAACCATACATACACATACACACGTATAGGTTATAAATCAAGCCGTTTGTTGTATCGCAGGCATATAGTTTATATCTTACATGAAAGTCACCAAAAAATTTACCATTATAATCTACACAAAGTAGTAAACGAAGTGTCACTAGAAGTGGTATGGTAGTTAATACGAAGTAATTAGAGTAAAATGTACAAAAATGGCAATGAAAATCAATGACTGATTTAAAATTAGATTAAACAAGAAAGAGGACATGAAATACATCTATAAAAAAGGTTAATGTAACCAAGATACCCAAATAATTTTTCCTAACCAAATGAATAAATAACGTTAAAATAAAAACTGCATGAGTTATAGCACCTCACATACATTAGAGTATATTTACGTGTAATTTGGTTAAACCATTTTATTAACTCATATAACAGACAAAGTCATTTGAACAACAATAACTTGTCTGTTTCTAAGAGCTTCTATTATTGTCGCGTTTGTATTAGCATGTATGCTTGAGCATTAGTTAAAGCCCACGCGCATATTCCTTTTACTACCTTCATAAAGTCAGTCGTTTATATAATTCCGTGATTCATTTTCCGATATAATATGTGTACATTTTATTCTTATCTATTGCCTCCTTTGCATTTGCATAGCTTTCCGCTTTCGCTTTGTATCCCTGTGGTTCTGAGATCGATTTGGTGTGATGATAAACACAACCAACGATTTGTTTTCTCAAACTGCATCTGATACACTGTTGGACGTTATCTAGTATCGGTTATCAGGATGAACATTATAGGAAGTTTGGAAATCATATCGAATATCCACCATCAGGAAGTCATATACATTTACAACGATACTTTTTACGCTCTTGTTGACATCGTGTCATTCTACTGTTTTCAAAAAAAGTTATCAAAATAAAAGTTTCTTAGTAATTCAAAGAATTGAAATAAGATGTGCTTGACAATATTTAACGGAAGATTCTTTGGAACATATGTTAAAGCTTAAATCTTAAAAGCTTAAACAGTATAAAACTTGCTGAGCGACAAATGCAGAAAGAGAAAGTTAGTGTTCAAGCATCAGGCTTCTGGAATTCCAGAATCATGAGATAAACAGAGGATAGGTGACGAAAACAGATGTACACAATCACACGCACCATAGAACCGGCAAATATGCATATGGGTTCAGTTTAGCACACTATATCATCACAGTAAAATGCAAATTTAGTAGAGTGGTAGGAGAAAATTAGGTTCAAAAGACGATTTGGTAACTCAGAATCCAAGGGAAGCAAACGATACTCAGCAACGTGAATCAAATTTCAAACCACTGGTTATGATTATCACGTGGACTCAGAGCATGTGGTTTGAATCAACCTACACGAGTCATTCATTCTAACAGTTCATGGCTTCATGGAGTAATATTACGTATAATCCCCGTCAGTAATTGTGTTCTCTCCCTCAACTGCTACTTCAGCCATCGCATGTCGAGATAGACGACAGACATCGATACGTATTGCATGTCCCAACCATCTCAGTCGATGAAGATTAACTAACTCATCAACCGATTCCCGTATTTAGTAAACTGACTCTAATATCAGCCAAGTGATGACGCTTTGCAGTCCTTTTTTAATATTTGCTTACAAAATATGACTAAACTCTGCTGTCGATTTCCGGCTTAAGTGTAAATGGTAGCACTCGGTACACGTGTAAATCGGCTCAATTTGTCACACTTTATTAGCATATCGAGATCAAATTTTCAAGGCGAACTACAGAGTAGTAGAATTAGTAGTATCAGTTATGATTAGAGAAGATTTTTTAATCTCAATTGATAATAATCATCATCCAGTTCCCTATATTTACTTGCTACCTGGCTCTAACCTCAGTATTGCCAAGTCAATCGTTTCGATCCGTATACGTTATGCTTCGAAGACATCTAAAATTGGATACTAATACACTGCAATTATTACCTATTTTCAAAGGCCACATTTCACAGTAATAAAGTAGAATAGGATGAACTGTCATGCAGTGAACTCGTTCGTTAGTTGGAAAACGGGTCTCTCGCCTACGCCTCAGGTGACGAAAGTCGGCAAAAGCCAACCTGGTTTACTGGATTCATTTCGAGATTTCGTCAGATACCAACACAACAGGTCTGTTAAAACTCTCAAGAGTAGTTGATACAGTAAACTACTTCACTCCGTATAATTATTTCTGGCGTTGAAGCAGGCATTGACGCAAACAAATCCGCAAGTAATATTTTGTATTTAAAGGGTGATAAATGCATTCCGAACACGCTTGTATTGCTGCTTAAAACTTTGCATTATATCACGGTCCACTATAAAGAACTATGCTGTCTACGTATTATACGTGAACAAGTGGATCACTTTGTTAGAGATAAATTGTCAAAAAGTCAGAAAACGATAGTGTTATCTCCACTTACGGCGAAAAAAGATGCTGATGATGATCATGATGAAGTGGACAACTCCGAAGGCAGTTCGCAAAGATCCTGTTCGAGAGAGATGTACTTGTTGACAGATAATTACCAAAGAGGTTGAAAGCTGCCTTAAGGTCAAGAAATACAACTACGGATCGGGGCCCATAGGTATGTCTAAGATTCATGAGCTAGCTGGTTAGGGGCGAATTTTTGATCAAGAACATTTCAGACACTATAGTAGCCGAGCGAATTCCTGTGTTTTTATAAAATAGAAGTTTCGCCCTTCTATGGGCTCAACAGCTAGACTTATCTGCATTCTAGTGTTAGTGTTCAGACGAGAATTCTAGCACAGTACTTTCGGTTACAAACGCTTAATACGTTATTGATTGAGCCATTGAGCCTACATAGCCGATCATTTTTCCGACAACTATGATGCCTATATCATCATTAAAACAGGTTTGAACTATCTCGTCGTTGATAGTCTTAACTCAAATTTTATCAGTGGTTAACAGTTTGAGTGTTCGAAGCAAAAAGTATAGGGTTCCAATTAAAATGTCGATTTTACCACGAAGTTTGGTAAACCCGGCTGATAAGCAGTAAAACATTAGCATGCCTATTCATTAAAAAAAGAAGGTAATAGTTTAGTATCTTGTTATCATAATAGTTTCTTTCGGCTACCTAAACAATACATCCCAGTGAAGTAATCACAAATAATTGTAAAAACTATTCACTATCTCATACTCTTCAAAAATCCGTAAATAAATGGATCGATATTTGAAAAAATTATTTTTTATAGGACAGTAATTGATCAATCCAGTTATGCTTATCGCAAGATTTTGTAAGATAGATTAGTCTCAATATATGTACAAAAGTTATTCAAAGGGTCATACTGTGTTTGAAATAACTATTCACCATGTCGATCGTTTACAGTCTTGATTTGTTGTTTTGGTGATAATGTAAACAAGTGATGGATAATTTCATAGTAAACGTTCGTCATTTCATGAAGTTGCACTTTTTATTTATCAAACAATCATGACACAATACTGTCATAAACTCTAGAATCTCTAGAAAAAAAATAGAATTCTTCTCACAATTTCACCCAAAACCAGTTTAGATTAGTCGTTATAAGTTGCAAACAAATAATTATGACAAATCCATTCACTAAAATGACAAACAACAGAAATTATTCACCTTTTTCACTGCATAAAAAAGTAGAAAGAAGGAGAACATAACATGTTAGTTAAATCCTGTTATATAAAACTAATCGTCTCCAATGCTATGTATTTTCTTGTGATACCAATAAGATAGAACGACAATTTCAAAACTCCATCAGTACACAATTATTACTTATTTATAGCTGATCGTAACTTTGATTGAGTATTAAAACAACTATGGTTAAAATTTATCATTTACACCAGCTCCGTCTTGACGAACCATATCTCGAACAATCGCCTGTTTTCCTAGCCTAAAATATCACCCAAAAATACTGTTGTTTCAAGACGGAAATATAACCCAATAATTTGTGCAATGATTACTATTTTCATAACAGTGAACTCTTATCATCAGGCTATCAGTAGTTTAGAGATTTAAGTTTGAACGTGGATACAACCAAAGAACTGATTTAAGTAAACATTTCGACAAAATTTATATCAATTATTATCATCTTTAGTGGTAAAGAAAAATGAACAGTCGTTATAATATAAACTATAACTTAGTTTTTCGTTAACATTTCTCATTCATAACAAGGAGGATTTTATTAAGGTAAACAACAAAGATAAAAACAGGAAACTAACCAAAAAATTTCTTTGAAGTTAAACCAGGCATTGCAGGAAAATAACTGATGTTGTTAGCATTGAAAAATGCACATGATTCATCTGTTGCTGTTTTACGATTTCGGCAATATGCTTCATAAATGGGACCAGTGATATCTTTATGACATTCTGCGGTACCATTGACAGTGATAAAATCTTGACTTAACAAGCGTCCACCCAATGCACAAACACTAAATCGATATTAAAAGAAATAGGTTTTATTAAATAATATTTTTTTGATTAACAATTATTGTCATAAGTGAAGAGGGCATTCAAAATTTTTAAAAAAAAGATCATAAAAGTACTTTAACTGAGTTCTAACCATCAAACTGTTCTTTTAATAAATCCATTAGGATAAAAACTATATTTTCATTAATTATCTAATCAGTAAGTTGAAAGCTTATCATATCTATAAAATATATAGTATATAACTAGAGTTCTAAAGCCTCTTGAACATAAAAATGAAACTCCTCATGGGCCACTTCTTAACACATGAGTGGAGCGAAGGAACCTTACTTCCTAGTTGTTATTACGTCATAGCTTTGCATTAACTTATGTATATATATATATAATCATTTAGGACAATAAAATATCAGACAATTTTTTCGCTTTAATACGCGACTACTCAGAAGCGAGCATATATGAATGCACAGGGGACAGAACAGTGTCAAGCGTGAAACAAATATCATTGACGGTAATATATGATGATCTCAAAATTTCTTTAGCTGATTAACACTCAATGTGTTAATCACTAGATAGTGGCTTGGCAGTTTGAAAATTAGGAGCTCTTAAAGAAATTCCAATACTCTGGGTTCTCTCCTAGGTCGAGGTCATGTATACACGCTGCCACGGAATCCTATAGTGGAATGAAATATCTTTCTGGTGCTTCCTGGTAATGAATCATCGATTAATTGAAATCAATCTGTGATATACACAGTGGAAAGAATAAGAAAATCTGTACCACCCAGGTAGTGGTATACTGTTTAACTGTATTCCAAGTTCAAAATTTTATGTGCACATTGTAACAAATGATTGATAAGATAACTCAACGTTGGGATAGATGAAGTGGTGAGAATTCAAAAGTAATCAGTGACGAAAGTGTGTATAAAAATCAGCTTCATGTTCATCGTTGTGTTTGAATGTGTGAATTGAGTGAATAAACAATTCATAGATTGCCTTATATGATAAAACAGAATTGACAAAGTTTTGGTAAGAAATTGAATATTGAATAAACGTTATTTAGCCACACAGAAACTGTCACAGACATGCAACAGTAGAGGAAAACGGAAGCATCGCTTTTCTTATATTCATATTTTTCTACATGTATAGATAAAACTAAATCTGATTTCTATCTTATTACAATGCGTCAATCATATGAATACAGTTATCGTGTTGACTGAACAACATAAATATGCACAATAATTCACTAATTGATTTTTTTTTAAAAACTGAAACTGAAATGATCTGTTTTTAAATACTTCATTTATACAAACAAACGATTGATTCCATCCAGTTTAGTTGGGGAAGTGTGCGATTTTTTTAAACATAAATTTGAAAAATTAAATAAAAGTAATGAACCAATTTATTAGATATTTCGTAATGAATTCGAACTGTGTTCTTCTAAGTGAATAAGAATACGAGTATTTACTTTAAACAGGATGACGTAGATTTATATCCTCTTTTTTTTAAAAAAGTAATCCAATCGCAATCGTCATGTCGTTTAAGTGAAGTCAAAAAAAAAAATACACGAAAGGTATATTATAGAGAAGTTACAATAGAGGAACATAACAGAAGTAATAAAAAAAAGAGAATCAATGTTGCATTTAAAAGAAATCAAATTAGATCGCGCCAATCAATTAGTATAAAATGAGATTATGTATTTTTTTTATCCAACTAGATTTTTATTTAACAGTATTTAATGACCGGAAAGGCAGTTTATAACAACTAAATTAAAAATTATCTGATCTACAGTTTAAGTTTTAGGAAAATTGAATTGTATATTTCTGTAATTAGCTTTTAGTTTTGAAAGATTCATTAATTTGAGCATATTTTAAATCACGAAAAGAAAAAAGCCTCATGTGAGCAACTGAAAAAAAACTTGAAATATAATTCAGTACAGATATATATACATATATATACTATGAATTGAATACACCTACATAAAAGACTGATAGTCTATTGGATCTGGAATCGAAAACCTTAGGATTGAAAGAATTATCGAACAATATAAATGTAATAATTGAGCAACAATGTATATGAGGTGAGAATTAGATCAATGCAAACTAATACAATTAAAGAGAAATTATAATTGAGTGTAGATCTCTTCAAAAAACTTTCACAAAGATTATTAATACGTGTTTGAATAATAAAAGTTTGCAAAAATCTAAACTTACTAAGGACTTCTCGATGGATTCACTGTAAAAACTCCTAAATACACACACAGAATTGAAATCAGGACAGCAGCCAAACTGACGGCAGCAAATCGACTAACAAAACGAATACCCATGAACACGCAACACATAACAACAAACAAAAGTATTGTGCCGTAAACACGTGTATTGTTGAACAGGGCAGCATCAGATGTAATATCACCAAATAACGAAGCCTGAGGAAGTATGTATTTCTACAAAAAAGATAAACACTTTCGTTAGAAAACTAAATACATTTACCATAATCTACATCTTGATATGATTAGGAACTATTGAAAATGTGTACTTTCTCCTTCAGTTTACAAAGATCAAGCTAACCACAGTAATATCAAGATTAATTAGGAAGCAAAACTATGACTTAGTAGATTAGACATCTTCAATAAAAATCACCATGCTAACCCGTATAGTTATAAAATTTATTCAACAAACAAACGGTCAAACAGAACGGAGGTTTAAAGAAATTTTCTACACAACAACGTCATTTTCCTTAGCTTTAGAATAGCAATTATAGTTGTTTCATATATGGTAATCTATAATAACGCCATAATTTGACAAAACAATCAGAAAACATCAAAACCAAAGAAATTTTTCCATTCTTTATACGTGATAATTAAACGAATGAGCAAACTAGTGACGAAGAATTAAATTGTTCGATGGACCATAGTTGAAAATATTTCACCACTCGCAGGTCCGTTGATGGCAATCACAAACAAAAACATCAAATTACAGGTACCCATAGAGTTCTGAAAAAAGCTTTTATTTATGTATATTGAATTCATAAAGGAGATAACAGCACAAAACATATGGTGAACAGATTGCTGAACTCTCTCAGAGAAAAATTTCACTCAATAATGCTTCGAATTTTTTCCCTAGTAGGCATCTCACTCAGATGGTGTCAAAGATAAATTGGCATCGAGCTACATTCGTAAATCAGGTTATATGATTTATTCCAAAACTGAAATTACCTGAAACGCATTCAAAGCAGCTTAGAATTAGAATGCGTTAGTCAACAGCTCAATCCTTGAAAACTTAATTAATTGTAGTTGCGAACTCCTAGAAAAGTCATCGCATAAGGTTATCTACAAAATCAAAAACTATCTGCAAGGAGATTTGGAAAAAAAATTATCGCATATCTAAAACTACAGAGATTCATCAACTAGGATTGATTTACGTGCACAAAAGAGACATTGTGACCGCCTTATTTTACCATGATCTTAAAAACTCATCCTTATCATACAAATTTTCTAATAATCTCTGATTTCTATATCAGATGAAACAACACTACTACATTTTATCACAGATAAACATCGTGAATCTTTTTGGTGACATAATATGTTTAATTCATTATTTTGAAACAGATAATCTTCTATAGATTCATGAAACTAGTTTTTTTTTAAAAATGATACCATTTTGATGTGTATTACGTGCAATTAACTCACAATAAGGCGGATGTATGGACAGAAGAAGAGTATGGACCATCCAAAAACAACACGTTTGGTTCAACGAACAAAAATAAAGCGTCAGTCACCTAGTAATAAAATCCAGTATGCATAGAATTGTCTTAAAACACATGGACATAAGAAAAGATAGATCGCAATACATTCACTCCCTTAACCACTCTTGTTAGAGCCTTAATATGGAACAACTCTTACGCCCATTGGAAATACGAGTTTTTTTTATTGACATTTAGAACGATGAGAATATTGACTTAAAGATAAGTCCATTTAATTGTTACCGTTAGACAAGTACGTGATTTTATAAGGTAGTTTTAAAAGCAAAGTTACACCTGAACAGTAATCAATAAAATAACGTCAACGACCTATAAATACAACCTTAGTCTATTAAAAACTGAATTGAGACCACCAAAACCATCGCATGAACAAGAATTAATTAATAACACTCACTAGGAACACCTCGACAGCTCCTACCAGATACATAGCAGCAGCTATTGTAGTACCAAGATAGAAGAGCAAACCAACTGCTCCACCAAATGCAGGGCCAATAGAACGTGATATCATGAAATACGATCCACCAGCAGGAACTTTCCCGTTTGTTGCAATCGCAGACATACTTAAAGCAGTAAGCATGGTCTACAGAACAAATAAAAAAACTTGCACTTAAGTGACAATCAAATTTCAACGTTGAAACTGAAATAGTTTAAATGTTAACATAAGTTCTCTTCTTAATTTTAATTTTAACATAACTTTGTCGTTCTGAGATACACAATATGAAAATCATTCAGACAGAACTTAAAAAATCACAACCATAATTCATGTATTAAGTTCAAAGTAAACAAACCATATTATAGAAAAAATGTTAAAGGGTTAGATTGAAATTTAGAAAAGATGGTTTGTATTAATATACGGTTCATTGTAATGAATGAGATCATGAACCAAATGTATAAACTTTATGTCAAGAATTTAAAGCACTTGATTGATTCATCAAATATGTCAGGATAACTGTAAACAGAACGTAAGTGCACATTATTCAACTAGAATCATAGTAGCAACTACAGTTTTTTTTAACTAGTTGCAATCATAAGTAAGGCTTTGCAAGAAAATAAAGATATATATATATATATATATATATATATATATATATATATATAGTCAAAATCATGGGTGATTTAGTACAGAATTTTCTTGAATATATATCCTTCCAACTAATAATTTATATTACATCGTAACTATATACACTTTTATCAAACAAACATTTTGAGTCAGGAAACTTTTAGAACGTATTCAATTATAGGGTAATTCTCACAACAGATTGATTTCAGGCTAAAAGACTATGAAAAGAACGAGTAATCAATGAAGAAAAATGCTTCGTTATAAATTGAAGCATACAAATTCAGTGGTGAAAAATGTCAAAATGTGAATTGAAAAACTACTTGATGCTTCAGTTTTTATTGCCATTGCCCTCAAAAAAATCACGATAGTAAACAAATATTATGTTACAAATTAATTTTTAAAGATTGAAAAAATTAATAAATATATTTATATCAATTATTTTAATCGCGTGTAGAATGAGAAACTATGAAAACAATTTATAACAGGTTGTTAGAAATAATAAATCAACTTGATTTTGTAATTGACCTGTTCAATATGAAATTAAGTTTCATTGAGATTTATTTGATAAGAAAATTCCAAATATATAAATCAATTTCATTTATATATATATATATATATATATATATATATATATATATATATATATATATATATATATATATATATATATATATATATATATATATATATATATATATATATATAGCCATTGAAATATTTCATAGATATTTATTCATATAACTTGAGATCGAATGGTTCTCATAATTCAACTGGAATAAACATTGAAGTTGTATAATATGATGTTAAGTGATTTCAATACTATACGAACAGTTTGATTCAGAGTGTCATTCACTCAGCCAGTCAGTTGCAACGTAGAACTTGCTACGTATGCATATCAGTTCTTCGAGTATTTTTCTAATACGTCAGTTAGTCAAATATATATGACTAATGACTAATAAATATCAGTCAATATGTGAGAAATAAACACTGGTAAAATTCAGATCAATACTTTTAATTGCTAAAAAGAGGATCCAGAAAATTGTGAATATAATACTGATTCACTCAAAAGATATCCATATTAGGATTGCCCACAAATTGATTCATGTGCTCTTGTGCACATATATATATACATTTAGAAACAAAAGAATGAAACATTAAGTTTACTGGATGTGAACAGTTTATTATAGCACACACCCGACTGAACTAACGACCGACGCCAAATTAGAATATCTATTAAACGCTGGCTGATTTAATGCAAGAACTGAAGTTGATTATAGTCTACAACATCGTATTGTTCGGAACAGAACTTAAATGTGTTCGATTTAGCCCCTTACGAAGTCAGAAATGTGAGACAATATACAATCTTGAACCAGGACAAAACAACTATTAAATACTTCCTCTTTATCAGCGGATCTCTATACCAGCCTGTTACTGATACTATAGTCGATTTACCGTCATTTTTGATAGTCTTTAGCGACGTGAGCACTATTATCTGAAGTAATGACCAATCCTGATCTATTATTTGAATTCATACTGTGATTTCGATTTTTTTCTTAAACCACCCAATTTAATTCGAGTTTCGTAGTGAAAACCAACGCTGAGGTGCAGGTACATCCGGCTGATGAGTTGTAAATGGGACAAAACACGAGTCTTGGATTTCCCTGCTAAGCAGATTCCATCCATCTCTCATCCATCATATCTGTTCAATAGCGTACTTATTGTTTTATAAACAGTCAATCAATTCAGACTAACTTCTATTGAGGTCACAAGCAAAAAATGTAACTTGAGACCTACAGTCATTGTAGGTTTAAACCGTTGTTTTCTCTGCCTTTTCATTCCTTTTCAACTATGCATTCAATGAAGATTTAGTACAAAGTCGATAAAACACATTTGTACGATATGGATCAAGTAATTAATCAATAAGGCAATATAATGATCAAGTTCATAAACATTTTAAACTCAATATTGATAAAATTGGGAAAAACGTTCAATTATAAAACCCTTAATACAGAAACATAAATCGACTGGAAGGCCATTTGAGAAAGAACGGCTAATTAGGTTTTTCAGGATAATTTTAAATCAAGCCTAATGGAACAGATATAACATATGTTCAGCGAAATGATATGTTCACAGAAAATCTTATATATTACCAAGTATACTACTGTATTATATTAGTAGTACAAAACCGTTTATATCAATCATCAACGTAAGTGAGTTTATATCCAAGGCTGTATAATTTTGGAATTTTCTCTCCATCATCAAATGTATATTATAACCAGAAGAATCCAGAATACCATCTGGTGTATCACTTAGGTCATGGAAAAATGAACAGTTTTTTATCGATGAATTATATAAATATATATATATATATATATATATATATATATATATATATATATGTACATATATATATATGGGCCAATCAGTATCATAAGGAAGGAGAACTAGGGAGTATTCAAGACAATAAAAGGTTATCAGTCAGTATTATGTTTTCACGAGCTGTTTTGGAAAAAAATAAACATTGATTATGTTAATTCCAGTTAGAATAAACTTAATAATTTGTTTTAGCTTATCGACGTAAACTTTTCACGTGAATATATATAGAAATCATCTTATCCAATTTTCATTTTCTAATAGTTTAAAGGTAATTGATCTAGAAGTTTGATGTTTATAACTATCATATACAAAGTCATTCCAATCGTTTTCCATTCGTATGTTTGAATATTCATAATTTGAAAATGGTAATCTTAGACAAAGCAAATAAAAACATACGAATCTTATAAACTAATGAACATAATCTACCAGTATGTGTATGAAAATGGGTGGAATTTTCAAATAAACTAAAAAAAGATCAATTAAATCAACACCGAATTGAAAAGGTTACTTCGCATGGTTATAATTTATCTGTATATCATTATTTAATTTATTTGTGATTCTATCAGCCTTACTTCAATGTTCACTATTTAAGCAAAATATAACATGATATGTATGAGGAAGAGGTTGCAACGAGAAAAAACCGCATTATTTTGAAATAATTTCCGGACAATATTTAAACTTTTTCAAAAGTATAATTATATGATTGAAAAAAACACTTAGTCATATTCATTAATAAACAACTAATGAGTTAAGGTAATAATTTATTCAGTACACTATTTTTACAAAACGAATACAATAATTATCTTGTCAAGGGAAAAATATTTTAAGCATTCAAAACTGCTTCAAGCGCAAGAAAAGATTAAGCATATTTATGTACTTATTCTCACTTATCGACAAAATAGGCCTGCAAACATTGAATAAACTAATATTAAGTATTAGTTTTTTGAATTGCTTACTGTGAGATGCTTACAAAATCAGTAAAGAAAATTCAGAATTCGATATACGCATGTAATAAGCACTACATAATTCTGTAAATGGATTTCTTTCTTGATTAGTTTGATTAACAGCAATTTTAGATATGTAGGATGTAGGATATTTAATATGGTTGGAACAATTAAGGACTAAAAGCGGAAAACTATATATATATATATATATATATATATATATATATATATATTTTGATTTTCAAGTGTCACTGTCATGGAATTATTTGACAAAAGTAGTATATATGTTCTCAGTGAAAGTTTACTAACAATAGCACCATTTATTGCAAGTTAAAAAGCAATGTATATTTCAATTTTAATACATTTGTTTTATTCATATACGCTCATAATACATCTGGAATACCAAGCATATTTGTGTAAGTTTACGACATTGTATTAGCACTTGTTCGTTACGTTGTTTATATTCCTCATAAAATAAGACAAATTTGCATAGGATAGAATCTATCTAGCGGTAGATTCCAAGGCAGGCATTGTATCTTACTTCGAACTCAAACCCAGTCCAATTCACTTTCAACGCCATAGTGTTATCTACTTATCTACTGAGTTCAGATAGACACTCACTTTTGTAACAGGTATAAAATCTAATTTGATGTGAAATGGTTTGGATTATCCCGTTTTTGACATTTTGACAGAAATTTGATCAATCCGAATTGAAATAATTTCGAGTCGAATTAAAACAAGACAATTGTGTTACGATATATAGGAAATAAAATAGTCATATGTTAGTATGGTAGAGTTCAATGAAATATTAATCTACCAAGACAAAACAAAGTTTATCACACTTCATTTAAACAATGTTGAGATAAAGTTGCGAAGCTCTGTAATTTTGTTAATCAGTTTAATGATTATTATTGTGATCATTAATAGGCTAACTATACTAAAACAAATTAACATTAGGCTCTAGATTTATTTTTGGAGATGTATATTACATAATTGGTACCAACTAGTTGACTTATTAGACAAAATGAATACAATCATTCGAATAATAATGTACATCACATTGTCTAAAATACATCCATTGATTTAGAGCTGAACAAAAGAAACTGTTGATATTTTCTTTCGAAGAAAAAGCAATTTTTCTAAAATCTAAATGCTTGTTTTACGTTACATTGAAATAGACTGAAAATTCTTTGTGAATAG